TAAACCGCCTGCTTTCCTTCATTTGCTTGTTCGTCCCCTGGAAATAACAACAATGTGTCCAGTAGCGATAGTTTCCCTTTAAAACCAAGAGGGGAACATCACAAGCGTTCTTGAGCAATGGACGAATTGAAGCAACAACAACACAACACTAAACCCAAAAAGGCCGAAGAAGGGAATGGCGGGGAACCACCAGGGAACAAACATCTTGTCAGAGGGCAGCTTTAAAATGGCAACGGCCACCCGGTCTTTCTCCCCAAGCCTCGAGCACTAAAGTCACTAAAGCTAAGAACCAACATGTCTTCAATCCACCCCCGAAATGTGGCGATTTTCTCGATCCATGCCTTTCAAATTTGAAAAAAAGGCCGCCCAACACGTGGGTTCCCAGACTTCGGCCTGCAACAAGGCACATCTGTTGGGAAAAAAAGGAGAAATTAGCCATAATCAAAAACCTGGCATTCAAATGGCCTACCCAGAACCATGTGAAGAATTAAAAAGGCAGCTGCACCCATTTATGGTTGGGATTATCCCCACCAACCTTCATCTAGCCAGGTTCTGATTGTGGCTCAAATGAAGGAAACCCAGGGCAAAAAAACGCCAGTAGGTTTGTTAAGTCTGTCGATGGACTTGCTACTCACACACTCTGGGGCCCATTTCTTCAAGGACACCCAAATCTGTGCCAAAATCGGGTTTCCCCAAGCTTCCCTTTAAACCGTTGGTAGCCTTTCTTCCCCTTGTTTTTCTTTTCAAATGTAGCTTCTTTCCCCTTGGCTTCCCTTTAAACCATTGGTAATTCGCTCTTTTCCCCTTGGTTTTCCCCTTGGCTTCCCCCAGGCATCCCTTGAAAAGCCATCCAAAAACAGGGCTCCCTAGATTTCCCCTTACATCACCCCCACCAAACAAACACTCACCTTTCATGGTTGCCAAAAAGGTGAGGTTTAAAATCGCCATGGGAAATATATAGGAATCGACTCCCCTGAAAAAGGGCGCGCCCGGCCGCCCGGCATCGGCTTTCTCTTGGGCTTCCCCGGCGCTGTGCCGAAGCCCGCAGCTCAGCTGCGTGATGCGTTGCGGCAGCCTCCCCCCAAAATCGGCGGTGCCCTTCACCGGCCATGAGCTTAAGGGGGGGATGTACTTACCCCTTAAAACTCCCTGCGCCCTGGGGAAGTTAATCTTTTACAGACATATAGCCCAAGTTACCCCCAAAAAGTTGAAAAGTTGTGTTTTTAAGAGGTAAGTGTAGGGGGGGGGGTGGGGTAACTGGGTAACTGGATGTACATTGGGACTAATTGGCTGCCTTTCACTGGCCCTCTGCCTCTGAGGCTCTGAGGCTCTCTTTTGGGGATGTAACGGGGAACGGGTAAACGGAGGACTGAGCTGTAGAAGAACCCCATTGGCAATTGTCAAAGTCACCCTGGAAGTGACTGGTGGAAAAGGAAGCCGCCCAAGCTTCTGACTTGAAACACCCCCCAGTCAACATTTTGACGGATTCAGGCGGGTCATTGCGAAACCTCCAATCCAGTGACAGGAGGTATATAGCTGATTTGAGCAACCCCTTTGCTCCGATTGCTCCGATTGGGACAAGGAGTGTCTTGGTCTGCCAAAAAAATGAGCCAAAACCTGGGCTCTCCGTTTTTTAGATCCGCCAGAAGTGACTCACTTGTTTGCCCTTTTGCTTCAAACCGTTGGCCCTTTGAAGTTTCACGCCATGTGCTCTTGGCATTATCCGATTTCTGGGTGCCAACCAGTTGGAGGCTTTGGTTTCTGACTTTTGAAGGGAACTACACACCTCCCCCCAAGAAAGGTACCTGAAAACAAGTTGCACTGGAGGTCTGTGGACGGAAAAATATGGTCCTTTCACCAAGCTCTTTAGTCCTTGTGATGCTGCTCAATCACTCAGCTGGTACGTGACAAGTTGCCGGAACTGTCTTCACATCCAAAATATGGTGGGGAGATCAAGTAGCCTGCCTATTCTTCCCCTAAGCATCGACCCATCCGTTCATCAGCACCTTGCCAGAGAGTGGGGCCTCCTGGAATTTGAAAGGCTTCTGCCAGGGTTCCGGTGAGTGAGCGGAAGGGCAACTCATCTTCCCAGGATGCCGTGGGGAATCCCCAAGTTTTTTTTTGCTTCCGAAACCTTGCCGCAATTTCTTGCTTCCCACCAGCCAGAGCTCTGCTTCAGTTCGCTGATTTATACTCACCACCTTTTCTTGAAAGACTTCGGGTTCAGACTGACTTTGGGTCAGAGCTTTTTGACTAAGAGGTGGAAGCTCCAAAGTCTCGATAGGTGTTCTCTAGCACCCACATCGCACAGTGGCGCCTTGCGCCAACAAGCCGAGTTTGGAAGTTGCCGACTTGCTGAGGTGCCCAGCAAGCGTGACTTCTGCAAAGCTTCCCATGTTTGGCTCAGGTGAGAGCTTGAAACGGAGGAAATTGGTCCCCGAACTGGGTCCAGATTTGAACATTGGTCACGTATCCCTCAAGGATGTAGCTTGTTGCCTAGGCGCAAGTGGGCACCTGGATCCTGACCCAAATTCACCGTGGGTGTGTCTTTTTGTTGGGGGACTTCATCCCCATGGTACTTTGAACCCACCAAACCCAGCGGTACGTGCCGGCCTCAAGGAGCTCCGTCGAGGGGGCGGGGAGGCTCTCAGCGTGGGGGTGCCGGGGGCGCCTGGCGTGAAATGGCGCCTGTCTCCATCTTGCGAATGTGTCCCCGCTGGTTGGTTTCAAACCAAAAAGAAACTTTAAACTGGGACCTGTTCGGTTTCCAGCTGGAATTCGACCCCCCCCAAAAAAGAAAGAATGGTGAGCTGAGTGCCTGTTTGCTGGAAAAGCAACAACTAACACGCCAAAACAGGTCAAACAACTTGTTTACACCCCAACAAGGAATAAAAGGGCACGTTCAAGGGGCCTGAACAAAAGGGGCCTGATGGCCACGGAAAGGAGCAGCCTCCGGAACCGTCCACCTACAGTTGATTTACTTGCAAGAGGAAGAAGGGAAACCTGGGAAAGCCCTGAATCTCATCATTGTTTGTGGGTAGACTTGCAACATGTTTGGAAGCAATCGCAACCGTGTCAACAACTGAAGAGAACATGTCCACACCTCAGCTTGCCTCACTCTGACTCAGCGACTGCCGACCTAAACACGGCTGTCAGAAAGATGGCCCCTCTTTTAAAGCTCACGGGCTCCCAAAATGTCCGACCTGTAAACATCACCCCAAAAGGAAATTCAGCTTAAAGTGTTCGCGCGTTAAATAAACACGCCCACCCACTCACCCGTTGAACCACTCGGATGGAACTGTATGGATCCTGGAGCAAGGGACCGGATCGAAATGATCACATGGCTATCTTGTGGTCATTTGTTTTTCGAATGCCATTGCAGGCAACCAGTTGAGCTGTTGGGCAACTGGCTGTTGGGTTTAGGGTTTAAGAGTTCGGGTAGGGTTTGGTTGACTGGGTGTTGGGCTGTTGGGCTTGCTTCAGTACATGCAGGATTCACATGATGGGTTTCCCCTGGTTACCTACTTTCGTGGTATCTGGAGGGCTTTAACCTGATTTTACAGTACCCGCGACACGATTCGGACAGTTCTTTCGGCCCTACCCGAAGGATCGGATTCGTGAAGAGCTAACTGGAAACATCGAAAACCGCCGCCGAGAACACTTCTGCGATACGAAAGCTACGCCTCAATAGCAAGGTTCCACACTCGCCAGACTCCTTGTTTTACTTATTCTGCTTATTATAGTGAGGGTTTCTCAGCCTATTTCCTGATAATTCGCATTCGTGGATTGGAGGTTGGGGGCTGTTGCCCATTTTCCCTCTCCAAGAAGCGACCAGCTGATACTCCTTTTCATCAGTGTCAGAGAACCAACCTTGAAATGCCACGGGTTTCTTTGGAGGCACCCCCCCTCCCAGTCCATTTTAGCGTTGAGTTGGTGTCCATCTCAGCGATGACTGTGACAATGAACAACAACAAGAAGACTTTGGTCCATCTGGGCACACAGAAAATCATAACAGATTCTTCTGCTACCCATATTTACTCTCTAAGCATTTACATCGTTTCTAGGAGACCCCAGAAACCACCAATGCAAACCACCAACTGAGAGTTAATACAACCACGTAAAGGGGCTTGTGGGGTAATTACGCTAAGACCAACATCAATCATGATTGTAGGAAGAAAATCAACCATAGTCATTGTTTTGCCCCTCAGCACACCCTCAACAACTGTCATGGGGGCTGGGGGGGAGGGAGGGGGAGGGGGGGAGCCCAAATAAGCCCTTATTAAGCCCTTAATAAGGCCTTATTTAGGGCTTATTTGGGCTCCCTCCCCCCCCTCCCTCCCCCCCAGCCCCCATGAAACTGTATTTCCCAAGAACCGTCCAAGAAGCTGTTGGGGTGTGCTCGCAAGCCCATGGCCTTCACGGCGAGCAGCCAGGGAGTCCTGCGTGGTGGGCGCCCGGGGGGGGGGGGGCTAAGTGAAGAGACCCAGACCCTGGGGTACAATCCACCCATTAAAACAAAGGGGGGTCATAGAACCACCATTGTTTACCTAAGGATTGGCATCCAAATTGGGTCCTTGCCATTCTTTTATTGGGTGAACCGTAGCGCCGTAGGGCAGAGTTAAAGTTCAATTCTGGCTGCGAAACTTGGAGGCCCAACAGACCAAAAGTCGCCCTCCGCTTGGCTTTCTCTCTCTTTTTGTTTCTCTGGAAATCAACAAAACTGGTCATTTGGCACGAAATCCGAAGGGCGGCGACTCAAACATATCTCGCAGGCGCAAACACATCCTTCGTGACGCATGCGGTTTTGCCCTGGAACGTAGCCTCGAGACCTACCAGAACCCCAAGACCACCTTCCTGAAAGGGTAGTGGCAGCTGCGCAAACTGCAGTGAGCTCGTGGATTTTTGGGCGGCCCGATTGAATCCAGACTCCTCTGTGCCCAACAGCTGCAATGTATTTGGTCTCTGCCCAAGGTCTGGGGTGGGGCGCTTTCAGAGTTCCCCTCTGGGCCACAGCGGGTTGCGGGGCTGTTGGATAAACTGGGTTCCTCCCAAAATCAGCGAGTGAAGCTGACTTTTTGACTGGCTGAAGTAGCGTGTCGCAAGTCCCCTCCGCCCCCCCAAACTGTTTGCAAACGAAGAACAACAAACAAGACTCATTTCCCGAAAACACACTCCATAACTTGTTTTGGAACATCAGTTCTTGTTTTCTCAAAGATGCGAATGGTTTTTCAGATCCATGGCAAATACCCGTTAAGTCCGCCACCCTACCTCCATTTCCTGAAGTATTCTGGACAAAAATACAAAAATATGTCCAGTCGTGATAAATTCCCTCTAAAACCATTAGGGGGAAAATAAGCTCAGGTCATATCCCCAACAGCATGTGGTGGAACCCTGGTGGAACCCTCGTGGAACCTGACCTCAGGGCCGCCCCGGACCATCCCGGAGCCTATCTGGGCTGAGACCCCAAAGCTTGCAGCTGTTGGGGAATAAACAAATATTTCCAGTAGTGATAGATTCCCTTTAAAACCAACAGGGCAACATGAATGACATATTTCCAGTAATATTTTTTTTCCAAAACCATCAGGGGAAAAACAAAAGCAATATTCTTAAGCAACTGGATGCCGACCTCCGGCAGGCGCCAGTCACCCAAAGCCGGTCCCCAAGCTCCGCGGTGAGCCAGGGGATCACCCGCGGCTCACGCTGGTTGACCTGGGAGCTGGTTTTCGGGGCGGGGGAAACCGCCACGTTGGGACGCTTTGGACATCCATTTTGAGTCGGGTGTTCTGGAATGGTTGAAGGGGACACCACTCATTTTGAGTCGGGTGTTTGGCAATGGTTGAAGGGAACACCGCGCATTTTGGGTTTTTTTTGGGGTGGCTGAAGGGGAAACCATCCATTCTGAGTCGGTTTTTAGAAAATGAACCCAGAGATGTAAGGGAAATCTCGAGATGGTTCAGCTTGGTGCCAATTGGCGTGGGTCCGAACCAAGCCGGGTAGAAGCAAGGGAAATAAAGGGACACTACCCATTTGTGTGTGTAGTGTGCTTATCTTTCAAAGGCCACCCTTGCATTTCTTTCTGGTTTGATAGGTAGGGAATCACCCGGACGCATTTTCGGGAATGAACTGGAGGGGATGCCATGTGAAATGAAACTTCAACCCCTTGTTCTTCTAAGCAGGAATGTGTGGAGCTGTCCGCTTGATGAGTTAGAACGGAAACCAACAGGAGTCCAACACAACTGTGTGTTAACATGGGGGACCAAATGATAGGCTTTCCCAGTGGTCTTTGTCCCCCAAAAATGTTCGCTCCCTTTTGGTCCACCATCTCAATGAGTGGATTGGCCACAGTCAAAACTGTTCACTTACCACTATGGTCCAAACCCAAAAGTGACTAAAGTACAGGACTCAGGGAGTGTTCTACTCAGGGAATGAGAACCTCAGGGAGTGAGTTGCTCAGGGAGTGAGTCTTGAAAACATGGGGTTTAAGAGGTTAACCCCTTGAAACCATGACTCAAACAAATTGAATCAACTAGGGAAATCCAAAAGGTCAAAAGGTCGGCTTTGAGCAACTGAGGCCCCCCCCCCGGTCGATTCCGCCGTTCCGCCCGCCTCGTCCAAGTAGCCCAGGCGCCCGTCTTTGGCGAGGCCCCAGGAGTACACGGCCCCAGGCTGATCCTCCTAACTCCAGTGGGGTAAGCAAAGCAAGTCATGATCTTAGGTGACCTAAACTGGACAAATGGATGGGGGGCTTCCCTGGCAAATGGTGTGTAAAAACGATCTAAACCAGTGGAACCTATCGTGTATTGGCCAGACTAACCTTAAAAGGACACCTATGGTCCGCCTATGGTCATGATCTTAGCAACAACTGAGGATTTGTTTGATACTATTTAGCTCCTTGGGCGCTCAAGCTTGAAAACGGGCCGGTCGAAGAGCATTTGAGCAACTCACTTGAAAAGCTGACACCGGATCCGAGAAGCATGTTGTAGGACACCATACTCGCAAACAAATATCATTGCGCGTGTGCCCAGGTGATTCGCGAAATCTGCGGCATGGCCCCCCGATGCCCTACGGAAGCAACTCGCTGCGCCTTTCAGTGGTTTCGAGCCGGCCCAAGTTCCCAGAAGAGACAGGAATTGTGTGTGTCTCAAAATAAGGGCGGCCAAAACGGGTGGCTTCCTTTGCGTAAAAAACACCCGCCCAAAATAGGCACCCTCAAGAAAAAGACACGGCCATGCCCTTCCTTTGCTGCTCCAAGAACCGCGGGAACTGGGGCTCCAGCTTGATGCTATGCGTGCCAAAGAAGGTCAGCGGTCCATACTTCGCTGCAAATTAAGATGAAACTCAAAAAGTCGGGCCCCCAAAACAACAATTCTCGGCAACTGGTGGTTTTAATCTGCAGGAGTGTATTTGATCAAACTTAAACAAGGGCTCCCAATATGTCTTCACCATTGGAGCTCGCTGAGCGTAAACAAATGTAATTCCTTTACCACACAAAAGGGAGATCACTCCCAGCGGACGTAACGCGCAGAACGTCAGGCCCCCAAAGACAAAACTCGCGAGGATTGGACATATGGACAAAGACCTGGCCAAGGTATGCCTATAAGAAAACATCGGCTTTTGCCCAGCGAAGAGCGCGAGCTTCAGATTTCTGACGAGTTGGACAACCGTGAATTGTCCCAAAGGAGATAGTCTCCTACATTTCATCTTTCAACATCATCCAAAGGACACTCATTGCATCACAAACTCGCCAGGAGATGTCCAAAACCAACAGATGGTGAGATATCTGGGAGGGAAAGTCACCAAGCGGGCGAAACCCTTCGTTGTGGGTTGTTGGTCGTGAATCAACGCCTTTGTGAGGTCGCTAAAGGTTGCTCAGACTGGGGGGCCTAATCCGAATCCGCAATCCGAAGTGGGACGCAACAAGTGAAACCCTAGTGGTACCATTTCGCATAAAAACGGACTAATGTTGAGCAACCAAGCTGGTAGGGGTCTAGAAGAACCACACACACAAAATAAACACCCCGTTGGCTTCCTTTTGGGAAAATTGGATACACTTTGGAGGGCCCATCGAGCTAGTTGGAAAGGGCAACCAACGCTTTTGGTTGGAAGGTGGCAAAGCCTGACTTTGAAGACTGACTTTGAGCCAAGACTTGGTTGACGTTGGCAGGGGAGCAAAAAAATATGTTTTTAGCAGTTAAGTGGGGATTCCCCACTCAACCACAACAAGCAAAAATGCAAAATGTTTCCCAACAGCAACCATGAAGAAAGCGCCAGGAGCCTTCCCCAGAGTTCCTCATCGAAGCAGGCCGCCACGGTGTGACTTTCCCCGCAGGCCACAGCCTGCGGCTATTTGGTTTCCAGCTGGCGGCTTTCCTTTTCGCACGGCCCAACTAGGTCAACAAATCGTATTAAAGGATCGTTTAGCTGAGGCCCCAGGTTTCCCCCTGACTTAGCGGACCTCCGCGTGAAGGAAGCTATGCTAGATTCGGGGCGCCCCTTTTGTGGGTTCCGTTTGGCTTCCCCTTCATCCAACCCTCTTTGGGGGGTATCAGCTCAAAAAACGACACTTTGAGGTTCAAACATTCCAGTGGCCTATGGTCCAAACCACGCTTACACCATCAATACTGGTTCAGCACCATAGCGAGTTTGAGGGCTCATTAAGGACCTTGGCACGCATATATACATATATATATATAATGGCATAACATATGTTGTTGCAACATGTTGCAAATATATACCCTATTGATGGGGTATGTCACCCACAAAGAGACACGGATTCGCACCAAAAGCTGAGGAGCCGCCGCCTGTCTCTCAAGCCGAGCACCACCTGCCGCTCATGCCCCGCTTCGGGCTGGAGGCAGAACTGGAACGGCTACGCCACCGCGAGACTCGCGGAGTCCGTGCCGCAGTCCCAAGGTTGAGCTTCTGGTTGAAGCACAGCCCCAAGCCCCACTGGATCGAGAAGCTGATACAAGTCACGGGCCCGGACAGTCTTGCGCCCGATGTCGCAGCGAACTGCTTATCTCGGGCCAGGAGGCCAGTTCTGCAAGGAATGTTTCTCACAAGCAGGGACCGGTCTTCCCAAATGGCCATGGGTCAAAAGCCCAAAAGTGCAGTGAACATCCCAAACCCCACTAAAATAGGTTCTAAAATGGGTGGTGCACATACCCCAAAATGGTACCATTGGTTTTGACCCACAGCCAAATGGTTGGTTTCCTCGTGGCTTCCAAATCCAACGAAGAGCTCCCTGCCACTGCCCCGTCTCTCTCCGTCTCCCTCTGGGGCGTCCGGACCGCCACACGGCATCTCGCCAGGCCCGGCACCAAAGTGGGCCTCGGATGGGATGACGACCTGGCGACCTTTCTGCGTGACGCGGCTTTTGAGTTGGTACTGCCGACCCCATTTGTTTTCTTCAAGCAACCAGCTGGTTTTTTTTTGAATTCGGAACCGCCCCTTTTGAGTTGGTCATGTTGGCAATCAACCAACCTGTTTATGCATAGGGGAGTAGTTTTTCTTTGGGTGAAATGTGGGGAACGATCACTGAGCGGAACAGCCCCCCCATTCATACATTGGGGTTGATTCATATACTGTGGACGGACGAAATCCTGCACCACTTTGAAACCACGGTTGAAACCCTGAATCATCACTCCAGGGTTTCTTAGTTGGTGCGACATTGATTTCGCCACCATCCACAGCATGGCTGAAAGCATCCCGCGTCCGTCTCGAGATTCGAGTCCACAGGTCTCCTTTCTCCCTTTTCAAGGAATCGAGACACCACGCAACGTGCCTCCGAACAGCCGAACTATGAGTGAACAGGTCCAAAGGGCGACGTTTTTAAAGGCTCACCTAAGACGGAAAATACGGTGGATGCATAAAATTATCATCTTACAACGTTGGGATTGGTGTCTTTGTCAAGCTGTATTCAAATTTCGGGTTCTCCATCCCAACTGGTGTGAAATGGATTTTGTCCGCGCTGCAAACCAACCCAGTTGACCCCATGCGC